GCTGAACTGTTTCATGGGGCTCTAAAACCAGCACAGAGTTGATAGCTTCGAATCGGATAAACTAGTGACTCCATTCTTAATGGCTTGAAGATCTTTAGTGACATCCGTGCCTCTTTAAATAATGAAGTATCAGTCTGTAGAGGTCTCCATGTCCAGAATTTGGAAAGATCAGTCTCTTGGAGGAATAGATACTGAGGCCAAACTTGAACATGTTTTCTTAATTTTTTTGTTTGTTTTTGCTTTATTTGTGTGTGTGTGAAACAGGATTTCTTTTATGAAGATATGGAACTTCTAACAGAGAAACTGCGAGCTTTAGCTACTGATGGAAATAAGCACAGAGCCAAAGTAGATAAAAGAAAGCAGCGATCTGTGTTCAGAGATGTCCTGCGAGCTGTTGAGGTAATTCTTCCGTCTTACTTGAGTGCATTGACTGTAACTGTAGTGTACAATTGAATCAAAATGCTCCTGTGATGAACTGGAATTTCTGTGAAAGGGGCAGAGATTTTAAACATTTCAGATTATTCTGCTAGTTTATGTTAAACAGAACTGCTTTTAAGAATGTATCAAAGTCAAATTTTACTTTCTTAACTTGGCTTTCATTTTGAAGCGGGCTTTTTCTGGTTAAGAGGCTAAGCATTGTATTATAAACACTAAATTCCTTTTATTTTATATCACAAACAGTTTTTATTTTAATACAAAACTTTGCAGTACATTCAGGTTATTGTAAAATAATGTAGAATCTTGTAATGAATTGATATGTGCATAATGAACAAAAAGGAGTGTAGGAGTGAGGCACGTTCCTCTGTTGAGAGCCAAATAAAAGGTTGTGTATTGGTAGGTGGGGGTTGTTGTCCTAATTCTTGTGCATTGCAGAAGCCAAGGAGAAGGCTTTGAAGTTGTTTGAATTGACCTTTGAGACTACCTGCAGAGCAATCTGAGCCATTTACTGGCACCTCTTACATCCCACTGTCACCAGTGTAGCTTTCTTCAAGGTGGGATATAAATTTGACACAGAGTGACTCATGCTCAGAACTATTTTTTCTGGAGATGAGCCCAGTTCTTTAAGTCAGTTTCAAGATGAAAGTCAGTTACATATTCTTCAAAAGCTTTCTGACGAGAAACATTACCTTCAAGTCTCTAGATGAGATTTAACTTTAGGTGCATGTTGGCTTATGAATTGATAAGACTTACATAGTATGCATGTTAGATTATTTGTGAAATTTTGATGTGCAGAATGAGCCTAATGAAAATAAAGTACTGGAGAATATTTAAATTGAAATTGTAAGTGATTTTTCCTTTCATTTTGGACAGGAGCGAGACTTTCCTACAGAGACAGTGAAATTTGGACCTGAGCGCATGTATATTGACTGCTGGGTTAAAAAACAGACTTATGATACCTTCAAGGAGATTCTGGGGTCAGGGATGCAATATCATCTGCAGGTGAGCTGCTGTCACATGCTCGAACTGCTGCTGTCTGGGGATTGTCTCTTCCCTGTTTAGTAATTGGAACAGCGAATCAAAATTGTGGGTGGAACTAGTTAAATTTGTTTTTCATGTTACCAGTTTTATAAGACAGGAGTTATAAAAAGTAATAAAAAACCACTGTTTTGAAACACTTTGCTGTTCATTTCAATTTGGCAAAGTAAAAGCCCTGCTTGCCTGCCTGTATCTTGTATCGAGATGTATTTTAATATTCTCCCGAATTTCGTTTCAGTAGAACAGTGTAGTCAGATGGCTGCTACAAAGCAGTGTCCATTTATAACTAAGCGAAGTGTGGGCACGTAACAAATATCCTAAATTTTTCAAATGTAGCTTCTACATGCAGATACAACAAATTGGTGTGTTGTGAAACATACAGATCTGTGTCCAGGTACTTAAACTTGTGCGAAGGATGTAGCAGAGCAGTGTCTTACTTGCTGGGACATATGAAAATCAGTGGGGGTGGTTGTGCTTTTTCCCAGGAGGGCAGTTTTAGTTCTTGACCTCGTTCTGATAGAAGGAAGAAGTGTTCCCTGGCTTAATTGCAAGAGGTTTCTTACTGGGATACGGGTATTTCTTAACAGCCCTTTTTCACCTTCATTGGAAGGGAAACCTGCTATGTGATTTTTTTTATTTTTTTTTCCTTTAGTCAAATGACTTTCTCCGGAATGTGTTTGAGCTTGGTCCACCAGTCATGCTAGATGCTGCAACTCTTAAGACAATGAAGATATCCCGATTTGAAAGGGTAGGTTATTGCACCTTCATGTATTTATGTATCATGCTAGTTCTCCTGAATTAAGTAGTGTTCAAGTCATAGACTTTAGGAGATGCAAACTTTAAGCTTGTACCTTGAAACCAAGCCCCATATTGTCCCAAATGAAACTAAGTCTTGCTTGTAGGTGTCTCTGAGCTCTTTAGCTTTTACATTGGCACCTTCTGCTGTACTCCCAAGTGTGGATCTGAGGACTGATTAGTTTGTTGATTTGGTGTCTGATTTTTAGGTTTTTGGGTGGGGATGTTCAGGAAATAGTATAAACTGAGTCTTTATAGAAACAGTTCCTTGAACTCCCTAGTGACAAAGAGATACTGGGAGGATGGGTGCCTTTGTTACGTTGGCAGTGCAAACATGAACATGTACATGTCTTACACAGTTCCCTTTAAATGTTTGCATATTAAAATGAATCTCTGAGGGACGTCGACCTTTTGAACAACTGTGTGATTAACTTAATTCCTCTTTTTATTTTGTAGCACTTATATAACTCAGCAGCATTCAAGGCTCGGACAAAAGCAAGAAGTAAATGCCGTGACAAAAGAGCAGATGTGGGGGAATTTTTTTAGATCTCTGTGGAGCTTAATTTTAAGTCTTTGATAATTAAAATAAATTTGTAACCTTTGAATGACTTTTTTAATTTCAATAGTCACAGCTTGCACTTGTGCACAGGGGTAATGTACAAAATCTGTAAATAGAATGCATGTCGCTCAGTTGCATATACACTGTACATAGATGTAAGACTGGGTGTGGGGTACATTGTAACACTTGGATTAGGGGTAACTTGATCCAAACCTGAACATATTGTAACTCAACTGTTAAATGGGGTGCATACATGTAATCAACTGCCATGTGTCAGATTTGATTACTTACTTTATAGTAAGGTAAATTAAGTGATTCATTGACCAGGTGTTTGGGTAAGATTGTGTTAATATGGAAGGATGAACTTGTTCATGTGAAATGAGTTTTAGTACCTTTTAAAACTGAAAGTGGCAGATGAACAAATAAATTCCTCTGTAGTATGAACTTATGTTGTGAAGGGAGCTGTGGAGCTGAATTACCTTCACTCACAAGGAAGCGGTAAAAAAGTTACTTGCCTCCATGTAAAATAAGGATTCATATGTTTTGAAATCAGGTGTTTAATTTTTGGAATAAAGATGTTTCTCACTGTATTCTTTGTCTTAATTTGGTTACTACTCTGATGAAAAGTTATAGTGCTAGTACAACCTAAATGGTGAAAGAGAGGGGTTTATTTTACACACAACTACTGTTGCTTGCCTGTTGCAAAGTGTGGCCAAGGTGGTCTTAACTGTGTTACCTGAAACAACTGCTTTGTTTGGGAGCTGTATCTTGTATGTGATCTGCATAGCAGCCGGTTGTTGGTTTCTTATCAGTTTGGTAATGGGCAACAATCTGCGGACTAAGGGTTTTTCTAGTTTTGGTGCTACAAAATCTCTCTTGCCTGACCAGAGTCATTCTAAATACCCTGTTCCATATAAAAAACTACACCTTAAATCGAGTTTCCCTCTCTAGAGGACTGAAATGTGCTGATAATAGACTTGTGTGGGGACAGTGAGGGAATTTATGTGAAGACCAAGATCAGCCAGAGCTGCTGCATCAGACCATCTGCAAACGCATGTGCTTGTTTCAGCCTGATCTCTGAACCACGTCAAACTGACTGCACTTGCTTGGCCTAAGGCTCGTGGTTCTCCCCTTGAATCGTTTGTTCCTACAAGCCTGCTGGTCTCTGGCTGTGGGTGGTCGCCTTTGCTGAACTGCACCAGCACAGAGTAGCGCTTGTGAGACCTTCCTGTGCTTCCGGAGGTTTGCGAAGCATCCAGTGCCTCTGTGCAGATGGTCGGGCACGTGGTTCCCCTTTCCCCCAGAATGCTGTAGGTGCCAGCTGCAGAGACTGGGATGGCGTCCAAGGCTGTTAAGAGGGGAGGAGATGGGCTGTTTTGCTGCCTGCTCGAGATCTGGTGATATTTTAGACTTTTCCAAGCTTAGAACAGGAGAGCGTTAAGTTTTTGCCTTGCAGTTAGGATGGTGTTAGGAATCTTTCAGGGATGGAAGTGGGATAATCTTGATTGATTGATTGCATGTCCTGGTTTGAATGGAGGGTTTTTAGGGGACCAAACAAGAAGGGAGCAAGCTGCATTACTGGTACAGCTACTGATAGTGCAGCTTCAGAGATTGTCACAATATAGAGGCAAACTGAGTCAGTAGGTGCATCACCTTGTGCTCTTTCCTGAAAGAAAAGTGTATTCATGGTCAGTTTAACATACGTTAATGTGGAAGTAGAGAATTGCTTGAGAAAAGTTTTGTTGTTTTGACCCATGCTCCCTGTTAGCATCGGCTGCCTGTCAGTGGTGTGCTGTAACATTATGTTCTGCAATGTTAGCAACAGAAAAAAAACAGCAATTGAAAAGTCTTTCCATGAACTATCAGTACTCACAATCAGCTTAGAGTGTTTTTTCTGGGTGCTGTACAGATCGGTCCAGGTGGTAATATATTTGAATTTGTAAGGTGTTGGAGGAGGAAAGTAACTTTTCCAGTTGATGCCTTTAAAGTACATATAACTGCAGTCATGTAGAAATGACTTCTGCATAGCAAACTCGTTACTCATAACTGCAGTAATATCGCTATGACGTTTTTTCGTAGCAAACTAGTTTTAAAAAGGAATCATAAAGCAAAGGTTTAGTGAAATATTGATCTTCAATAACGCATTATGTTTCCATTATAGGATATTTAATGATTCCAATATATTAAAGAGCTGTGCATATGCTGGTTTCCTTTTAAACAGTTCAATACGGTGAAGTCAGTGTGCTTGGCTGAGATTAACGCTAAATATAGATCCATAGAGACAGTCTGTTTCATGACTGCCTTCATGGGTCCTGCAGGGGCTGACAGGCTCCTATGGGGCTAAAAGTGGAGGGGAACAGCAGTACAAGTTCTGCTCTGGGGCTTTGGCACGGGCTGAGTTCCTCCACACTGGCCTTTTACCTGAACGTGGCTATGTTGTAAGTAACATTTCATTTTCTTGTTATTTTAATTCCTTCTAAGCTAGTTTTTGTTGTTTCTTTTTTCTTTTTTTTTTTCTTTTTCTCCTGTTGAGAACTTCCAGTGTCTTCACGCTAAGTTCTAATTTTATTACAACAATCTAGGGAGAAATTTAGAAATCAAATGAGGAAAAGTTCTTTAAAGAAGGTTAAAGTGCGAGAAAGACTGGCAAAGTGTAACCAATCCAATGTTTTAGTTTGTTGGAAGACTCGTCAATACCTTTGGCCAGTAGCACTGATGTATCCTCTCACATTTATTCGAAATATCACCAGAAAATAAAACATAGGGTTTTCCTTCACCGCAGTAGCATGCACAGTGAGGAAGTCGGTTTCAAATAACAATGAAATTAGAAATGTGTAATTCCACTGATAGCAATGTATGAAAGGTACTCACATTTATTACAGCTCAAGCTGTTAAGGAGTCTTTCCTGAAGCTGCAGGGAGGTACTAATCAGAATATCCCAGAGAAATAACTGCTCTTTGGAAGCTAAAAATAACCAGAAGCGTTTGTGCATGAGATGGTAGCTTTGAGCATGCTGTTGTAGGAATGCACGGCTCTGTGTGGCTGCAGCTGGCCATGAGTGTGCTTGTGGGGAGACGCAGTGAGAGTGCAGGTGGCAGTGGGGCTGGCCGAGGCGTGATCCCACACCATGTGACGTTCCAGGGCAATGGAAGTGCATACAACCTTCTGCCTTGAAGCTACTGCTGCACAAAGGGAAGTCAGGTGCTAGGTACAGTTCACCTCTGCTACCTTATTTTTGTGTTTTTCAGCAATTCTGAAGGGAGAAAAAAACAAGCTGCAAGCTTGTCTTCTGCTCTACTAAATATAAATGTAAAAGTATACATGTAGGCCTGTCAGTTTCCATTATTAGAACTCCCACTGTCAGGAGTGATTTAAGCACTTACTCTTCAGTGCTTAAAACTCAGGGAATGCTTAGCTATGTGCTCAAATCTGAGGGAATTGTGGCAATCTTCTCTTGTAAGGGAAAGGTGTTTTCTATAGCCATTTATGCCTGTATTCCTCAAACATTTTAGTTAGGTTTTCCAGTGAAGTGCTGAGTTAGGAATCCAGTCGCAGTGTTTTTTTGTTTATTGGAGAGGGACGGAGGGGGTGGCATGTCGAGGGGACGATTCAACTTGTCTAAGATTCAGAAATCACCTGTAGGTGCTTAACATCTTTCATCAGGGTGAGGCTTACATCTCATGAAGTGCTAAGTTGTGTTTGGCAGGCAAGACTGAACGTGGGGATTTGATAAAATATTCAGTGTGTAAGATTTGTTCAACATTAGGGCTAAACTAACCATTGCAAGCTCCAGCTTTACATTCATTGGCAAGGAAAGGTATCTTTAGACTGCAATTCTAAGGTCTAGAATGACATCTAAATAGAAGAGGCATATTTCCTGGAGAAACATATTTTTCTTCAGTAATTGCAGTGGGAGTTTTCAGTGACCAGTGTGGTCTAAGTTGCCTTGTTAGAGCGACTGCATCTCTTGATGGCTAGAACTGTGTGCTTCAACACATAGAGGAGCCTGTTTAGGTAGTGCTTATTCTTCATAGCTGAATTTGTATAATCACTGAAACATTTCACACACCCAGACTGCACTGACACACTTTCTTGTTAGGCCTCAATCAGTGTTTTTCTTAAGGCAAAGCGTAATGGTCTGAAGAAAAGGTTTGGCATCAGACTTTAACTCATCCATAATTAACATTTATATGAAGTACAACTAATTCATAACTTTTTCCCCCCATTATTCACAAATAATAACTTCACAGTGACACTACAAGGTGCATGCATAGGCAGACCTGTATTCTTGCTTATTCTTACCCCCTATACCCATACCTGCCTTGTGGCCATGTCTCATCACTGAATAGTTCTGTGCTGAAAGTGCAGGATCTATGTGACATCCTTGCTGTTGATGCTGGTGAAGATTTGACTTTCACTGTGGTCAGGTATCACTCTTCATCTTAATAAGTATCCACCAAACTAGAAGAAGTTATATGATTGAATATCTAATGCCCAAATAAATACTAGTGAAACAGATATTCTCTCTCCACACATACATATATGCATACATATGTGCAATTATATGTATATATGTGTACATGTATACATAAATGTGCATTCACAGGTACACAGATACGATGCAGAGATGAAGCTTTGTCAGAATAAGTACAATAACACACTGGGTTAGCCATGTCTTCAAGTGTGCTGGTCCTTCAAATCTCTAAATGTTAGGGGTTGTTACAGCTGCTTCTCACATCAGGACACCTACTATTACCAGTCAATTTACATCTTTATAGCTTAACTTTTTAATTATAATTTCTTCTAGATACAATGGAGAAAACTTCTTTGGAAATTAACCTCCCCAATACTGATGAAGAAAGAAAGCTTTACGTAGTTGATTCCTTAAACAACCTGAACAAACTAAATGTTTGCCCAGATGAATTTCAGCGTCCACTGGGTGCGTATGGCAATGTTTCGTGTTTATTCTTTGCACACAAATAGGCTATAAAATAAATTGAAAACACTAATGACATCGTACTGCGCAGGTGTTAACAGCCCAATAGATGAATATGTCAAACTCTGCATTGAAAATTTTAAGGAAAAAAAAAAAAAAAAAGGCATAGTTTAAACCATATGAATGGTTTAGCTACTGCTTCAGGTGTCAGGTTCTAGGAAATCCCTACATTTGACTAAAGATTCACTGTGAAGCCTGAATTTGTCCCTCTTTTCCACCTGAGTCCATCAGACAGGGTAATTTCTCTAGTACTGCGCAGTCTATACTTCTTCCATGGATAGCACTGTAACTCTTCCCAAGCACTAAAATTCACTGGTGGCAATAGAAATGCCGGTGAATTTCTGTTCATTCTTCTAAGGCATATCTCCTAAGGACTCAAGTGTGAAGCATCTTAAGAGGCTTTTAAGCATTTTGATTCACAGAATCTCTTTAGTTTGTGATATGAGCTCTTCCACTTCTATTGCTTTTCAAATCATAAAGTCATAGAATGTCCCCAGTTGGAAGGAATGCACAAGGATCATCAAGCCTAATTCCAGAGTCCGCATTGCATCACCCCAAACTCAGACTGTATGTCTGACAGTGTTGTTCAAACGCTCCTTGTACGCCAGGAAGCTCAGTTCCAGTGCCCACCACCCTCTGGTGAAGAATCTTTTCCTGGCATCCAGTCTGTACCACCCCTGACACATCTTCATGCCATTTTCTTGGGTTCCTTCACTGTCACCGGAGAGCAGAGATCAGGTTTTATTTACTGTAATGGCAAAATTCACTGAAGGGAAGGTATGGAACTACAGAATGTTTGGGATTCAAAGGGCCATACGTTAATAATCCTTCTAGTTAAGTAGCTTAATATATATAATATACCTTTCCATATTTAAATAACTTTTTGCTACTCAACAGTAAATAAAGGTAGCCTAATGCATATTTTATGAATCCACTTGTAAAGTGCTTTGTATTCTTCTAGAACTATTCTTTTTTAACACAGAGAGTTACTGTTTTTTTAACGTTTTTTTAAAGCTTGGAAAGATTTAGGTAAGATAAATATTGAATTTGTCTTATTCAGCAGCATGAAATTCTAGTTCTCTTGCCAGAAAATCAATGAGAGCTGTGTCGTACTTTTCAGTTTAGTAAATACTACATTCTCATGAGCAATCTGTTTAGCAGTATAGCAGATGCCCAGTTAGGTCAAAAAATGATGTTTCAGGAGTGTTGCAGTACTCACGGCAATCCTTTCATCCAATAGCTTAGTATGACCTGGCATAATCAAACACATTAGCAGGTTAAAAGCTATTCAAAATGTAAACACATTTGGATTGCCTTGGTAGCAGCCATGCAAAAATTTCTTCATGTTTTAAACGATAAAAATTTTCCCACTCTTTGCAGCATGACAAGAGTCTGTGTTCAGTGATTCTTTGCAGCACTGTAGCCTGGCAAGCTCAGCCAGTATGAAGCATTCATCATGCAGAGCAAGCATGGAATATTTCTGAGAACTCTGTAGATAGCTTACTGTTCTTGAGAGTAGTAGCAGGACGTCACCTTCCTTTTTATTCTAATTAGAAAGCAATATTGGTGCAGGTGCATAGTATATGATGATTTGTTATGAATGCTAAGGGAAAAAAGCACAATGCCTCCCAAATATTAAAAAATGTAATCTTACCTGATGCAGGAGCACGTTAAATGCAATAAAGAAAAACTGAGGTATTCCCAGTGATCTCCTGCTAGTTCAGCCAATTGTTCAGCCCCAGGTTTGTTCATTGTTGGAGCACTACTATGGCACATGCATCCTTCCCTCAGCTTTTTCACTACAGGCTCAGTTGCAAAACTGTCAGAGATTTCTACCATGAAATCTCTGAAATCTCATGAAATAAGCATAACTTTCTCATGGTCTTCACTTGACTTCACCTATTATCATTAGGGCGTGTTGCCACATTTCATAGGATCATAGAATTAATGTCGTGCTTATTCTAATGAAACTGATCAAACTTTATCACCAAATGACTTGTCATCTCTTTACAGGTGAGGACGTTGAGAGCACTGGTGGTACTAGAGAGAACCTAACAGGGAGCAAAACAAGAAACCAGTGCTACTTCTTCATTGCCTTCATTCTTACTTTGATTGTCAGTTTGGCAATTGTTTCATTTGTAATATTCTTAATAAGTAAGTACAGCAAACAGTGATTCTTAAAAATTTGGGACTATGGAGAAGAACTTTGCTGAAATGTGTCATGCTACCTTATAACATCCTACTGCTGTATATGCATGACCAAAGTCTTTAGCTAGGTGTGGGCAGTGGGTCCTTAGTATAGAAGCACAAGCCTCTGTTCTCTGTGCTACAAGGCACAACTTTGTTCTTTGTGCAGAGGTTTTGTCAGCTTAAACAGCTGTCAAGAATTGAGCTCAGCAGTGTGAAGGTTTGTCCCTGGAAACTCCAATATTAAATTGAATTTTTAAGACAACTATATGGCAGTGATTAAGCTTTTTGTATATTTCCAGAGGAAATTCAGTATTAGTGACTTTTCACTGAAACTGGAATTGCACTAAAGCTAGCACCTAAATCAAGCTCCTTTTAGATATTATCCTTTTTTCTGAAAGACCTGAAAACTGCAGCTAAGAACTGATGGGAAAGTGTTTGGAACTAAGAAAACCTCAAATAAACAAAAAATCAGATAATAGCATCAAGTCTGTAGACATATTTACTACTCCACTTGGGCTGGACTGATTGAGATACATCAGCTAACATTGCTGAGCTCAGAGCTACAGATGGCCTTACTTTATGGAGCCTTTGTCGTCTTGGGGCTTTCTGTACTGATTGCATTGGACAGCATGAGGTATGTTGTTTTCATGCACAAGTCCATTCTGAAAGAATTGTAATCCATGAGAAATTAAGATTATTTTTACTCTATAGTAGGAATTTAGCAAAAATCCTTTTTTCCTTCTTGAGAGAAAATCCTAAACCTTGACTGAACTTGCTCACAAGCTCTCAAGAGACAAAGCGTAAGACAAATACGCAAGCAAAACATTAAGTGGCATGATTGTAAAACACTAATTAAAACATCCACTGTTTGAATTTCAGATATATTTAACGGGCTGCTGCTAAGTGTGCAGATAAATGAGTAATGTGCCCCTCAAGCAGAAAAACTGTAAAATAACTAATAGTGAGAAGGTTACTTGAGGGATTAAAGAAGTTTGCTTGGGCTTGGAAATGGTACAGTAGCTCCAGAAGTGTATATAATGGGTACTGCACACTGGTATTCCAGAGGAACACCGCCTTTCAGTGCCAATATTTACAAGAATTCTCCTTTAAACTAAATGCTTTAGGAAAGCAAATGCTGTGGCTGTAGCCTTTGTTGTGCTTTACTAAGTGTGCTTCTAGAAAAACATAGGTGAGTAGTGCCCAGAAATAGCAACTTGGAGCCATTTAATAACACGTTTTCTCACAAACACAAATGGAAAGGATACACTCCTGGAGACTGCAAAATATGTCTGAGACAGAGTATTTGGTTGTATTACACTGCTCTGTAGTTACAAAAAAGTGTATATATAAACACTTAAAGAATTCAGTGAGCAGGTTAATCCACAGGTGCCTAACTTTTTCCCATTGGATTCTGCTTTTGTTTTCCTGTTTAATATTGTCATAATTCCCAACAATCTCACATGGGAGTACAAGAGAGGGTAGTGATGCTTTTAACTTAAATGCTGACAATTTAATGTGATGTATTTTCCTTTCCAAGTTCAAACTAGAAACAAGATGGACCAAATATCAAGCAGACTCATATCTGAAAGGAAGAACATAGAAGAGCTTAAGAAAATGAACAATATGATACTTAAGTATCTAAATCAATCAGGAATGATGGAAAAGGAAAGATACCTCTTCACACAGTCTCCTGAGCTTCATGATTACTTCTTCACCCATCCAGAAATGAAAGTCTCTGGAAAATAGATCTACTCTGGAATGAAACTCAGCATCACTTTATTCATGTATTCAGATGTTTTCACGTATGATATACAGACATTCTGATATGGTCACAGGAAAATTACAAAGGCTATCTGAATGAAAAATATTAGAAAAGAATATTGGATTCTGTTTGATGTGAACACAGATTTTGAAAACTAAGCCCATGTAATTCACTATGAACAGTGAATGGTCAACAATTTTCAGTAGCTTCAGATTCTCTGTGCGTTCTAAATTACAGAGCTAGGAGCTTAGTTTTACTTCAGATGTAAGAGATCACATAGAATAGTGATTTTTACTCAAGTGATTCCTGCATGGCCTTGTTGACATTGGAACAACTTCTGTCTTTGCTTCTATATTATTTGTATTCATGGATAACTGCAGATTTCATCACTTACAAATAAATACAGTTTTGCCACTGAGTTTGGTGGTCTGTATTTCTGTGTGTCTGAACAGATTGACACCACTTCTTAAAAAAAAATAATAATCCAAAAACCAATAACTAAACCTGACTAAAAACTAATCCTTTCATAACACGTCATATTCAACCCTAATTACTAAGGAGTGAAAGTGGGTGCCATATTGTCTTACATGGAAAATGGGTTTAGATAACTTGGTCTGGTAGCATCTATCTCATGATACTGCTAGCACATTCTACTCAGTATTTGTTGGCAGCTGTTGGGGGAAGACCAAGTGTTTTTATAAAGTGATAAGGGGAAAATGATGTATGTACATGTACTCTTCCCTATGGTTGCTGTTGGCCGCTGCCAGAGAAAGGCCACAGGGCCTGATAAAGGTCTGCACTGAGTGTTCTTGTTTTAAAAATGGTCCAGAGAGTAAAAGCAGCAGCTGCTGCTTTCTCAATTTGACTTCACACAGCTGTGGAGACCAAGACCCAAAAGTGCAGTCATATAAAGAATTGGTGGGTAGCTTTGTCATTTTAGTATTCAGATTCTGATATGGTGTGCACATTAAGAAGCTACCTCAATTACCAGTAAACAAATTGGTTACTCCCCTCCCAGCAGTGAAATGGCAGCTGGCACTCAACATCTTCTCTTTTACTTCAAGTTCTCTTTTCAATCAGAGCTTTTTTAATCTCTCCTGGAAAAGTTCATAAAAACAGTCACCTAGGTCCACAATGTGCAGTGCAGTCTCTTCCCAAAATCAACAATAATCTTTGCTGTGGTGACTCTGTTGTCTGCAATATAGTGAAGAACAAGATCCGGGAATCTTTCTTGCTATGACTCTACCTGGATTTGCCCACTGATTCCTTCTAAGAGGAATATTTTGGCTTACATCTATGTTTTGCATCACCTTCTTCCTATTTCTTGAGCACTGTTTTTCTTTTCCTGCTGTATTACTGACAAGTCATTCACATGAAAACCATGAGATTTGGCTGTAAGAGCTTATTATTCCTGCTGTTAGTTCTCAGCTGGAGTCTTAATTATCTACTCTGGGAATCACAAATGTTTGTTACAAAGATAACTTTAATACTGATAAGAGAATGATAAAAGTGTAGAATATGTTGCAAGAAAAGAAACTCTAACAGACCGGAGTCAATATCTTCCTGTAAATGCTGTTAAATGACGACAGAAAAAGTGTCATACGACGAAGAACATGAAACTCACAGTGCTGCTTCTCTGTTCACCAAGCTGTCAGTTGCTTTTAATGGCAGTATTCTCATCTCTCCCACTCATCTTGTAGCTACCATAACTGCTTTCAAGCTGCTGTCTCACCCTTACAAGCATCTGTACTTGCCAGCCAGGGAGAAACAATTCTAATATTTGGCATCCAGTGCATCTCAAATACGTGGATTTGGCACATCCCTCATTGTAACTGCGGCTATCAGAGATGTCTGTGCTTCTCTAGAAATTGACACCAATAGCCTGTAGATTTTTTCTGGCAGGAGATGGTGTAAATAAAATATGTGCTATATCAACAGTCAACAGAAATTGAAACTTCCTGATGTCTCTGCTGTTGTTGTCAACTACTGTTAATCTGTTATTCAATCAGTAATCACAAGAAATCCACTTTTTCTGTTGCTTTTCTTGACTAGAAAAGTTTTTTTCTCCTTCATAATTTGAACTTGTGAGGTGCTGAGTACCCTCAGCTGCCACAGATGTATATAGGACCAGCAATATGCAGGCATGCTTGGTACCAAAGGGACTGAACCCTCAGTTCATACTTTTTATATTTAATTGCTACTTCTCTTGCAGTGATTAGTGATTTAGAGTAGAGATTTAAAAAGTGCAAAGGTCCAAGGAAATCTTTAAGCCCATCTTAGTAACACTGTTGAAATATGCCTGCTTTTGGACCCTCTTGTGTACAGTGGGACATTGTGTAGCACTGCATACAGCTGCTCAAGTTGCAAATATCCATTTATAGTGAGGGCAGCTCCCATCTGAGAAAGGAGTGAGGGCTAAGATGGGCATCTTGACAGTGAAGTGCCACAACCACTCCACCAATGTTTTCTGGAATATGCTCAGGAGAAGAAAATAATGGCTACTTCATGAATATGGCTTATCTACGATGGTGAGAGTCCCAGACAAACCAATACTTAAAATCTTCTCCAGACTTGACCCTGAAGTAAACCAGCTCATCCCAGGGCTCCATAATCTTGAATAAGTGACCAGTGAGCTCTGAGCTCCAGCAGCACATGGCATAACTAATGTATAGTATATCTTACAATTTATCTCCTGTATATGTGGATAAAATCTCTGTCGTGGTGCACATCTCAGGAGCCTGCAATGTCTAGTGGTGTGACAAAGAAATATCCATGCACCAAGAAGAGCTGATGGTAATAAATAAATTAATCTTACAGTACTTACAGCCATTTGCATCAGTACTGCTTCTTTCCATTTTCTTTAATTTGCAGACTATAGAGGCATCTATCCAAAGTCAATGGCTTTTCAGTGTTTATCTGAGTCCATTGTAAATCAATCTGACACGCAAAGGGTTCAGATAGGTTTAATAACATGCCATCAATGCTCATCTGCACCAACAGGTGCAACTACTATAATTACTAAAAAGGCAACTTGACATCAGCAAATTTTCTGTGGAATAAATCTGGGCAAGGCTAGAAACATTCTGATAAGTAAAGAGAAACACTCGGAAGATCTAACCAAGAAATTATCTTCAGCTTTCATCAAAGGCATCACAGTATCTGTCCTTGAAGAGCTGGCTGAATCTTCAGCCATCAAATAATACCACTGTAAAGTCCTGTGGAAAATCTCTAAAACTGTCTTCCATGTCTTAACCATTGGTGCATTGCTTAGTGCTGAAGAAGAAAATTGTGTGTTTAGTTTGCATTTGGAATTAGGGAACCAAAAGTGCTTGCCAAAGACGGTGCAGAATATGTTGGAAGATGGACAGCTCTATTTCCTTGCTTAGGCAAGTTCCCCTGCTGCGAGAGAAGCCTACATGACCAACGTGACAAGGGACAGGGTCTCTTCAGCCCCCATCTCACCTGGAGGGGTCAATGCTGCTCTTCCTCCTTCCACACATCTGCGCATGCTGAATCCCACCTACTCCTCCACTGCATGCAAACTACAGATACAAATGAAAAACATCTCTATTTGGCAATAAATATAAAGGACTACAACTCAGCGGTGAAGTGTGCACCTGCCACCTGAATATTACTGGACCAGACATTACACTGGAACCAAGGGTAGTGATCCGAGTTTTCTTTCCCTGCTATTTAATCTTCATTTTCTCTTATGATTTCTCTCTCTCCTCTCTCTCTTTTAAAGTTATATTACAGTTTAACACAAGGCTTATCATTATAGCTTGTTGGCAATAGGGCATAAGTATATATGGATATACACTACATCTTGTGCTAATCACTGTAGTGTGATACAAATAAATATTTAATTGTTTGGTGTCATTTCACCCTAATTTAGCCAGAGGAAATATCAAAACCTCAGCAACACTGACTCGATTGTGTCATACCTAAATGTTGTGTTGTCTCATTTTCCCCCGTTTAGCTGTGAGAAATTCCCTCCTTTGTTCCTGATGTCCAGAACAGTCTGTGTTTTTTGTTAACAAAAGTGTGGACTGTTGTATCTGACCCGATGGAGCTATGTGTGAAGATAATATACAGTAACAGATAGTGGAGGGCTAGCTAACACAGGCATTTGCTTGCCTCTCCTGGGGTAAATCTGTCATGAGAACACCAGGTTATACATGGTCAGCTTCCAATGCAATGTCAGATTTGGTCCTGTGCTCAAGCAAATAGAGCTCAATGGGTACAAGCATCATGGCAAGAGCTGAGGAAATAATTATTTGTAGAGATCTGTCTATGAAACTGTCAGAGATTGGGTAAATTCAGACAGTGAGCATCTTCAGGAGATGAAGATGAACAGATTAATAATCTTTTTTACCGTCTGAGATACTTGGAATTTTAATACATCTATTCTTAAACTCTAGTGTGTGTTCAGTTTTGTTCTGGAAAAAGTGAGTTATCAAAGCTTCAGTGAAAAGGACGAATTGATTCACTATTACTACTGATTTACACAGAAAGCTTCACACGCTTTGCTCTCCGGTAACAATACAAAGCCAAACACGAGCAAAAAATAATAATGATGCCTGTACTCTAACTCTGGAGGGATAAGAGAAAATTCCAGAAGTGGTGAAAGGACTGTCACAAGTTTTATTAGATCACGTGCTTTTAAAGGTGATGTGCTTTGCACTGCACAGAGCTCAGACTATTCAGGAACACTAAATGACGTATCAAGGTATTTGCCAAACGAACAGAATGGAATAATGTGAAGCAGAGGGACAATTGACAGAAAATTATCTGAAGAACAAAAATCCAATTTCATGTTCTTTTTTTTTTTTTTTTTTTAAGGTTCTGAAAATATAATCAGAGAATCATGGAATCATAGAACAATAGAATGGTCTGGGTTGAAAAGAACCACAATGATCATCTAGTTTCAATCCCCCTGCTATGTGCAGAGTTGCCAACCACCAGACCAGGCTGCCCAGAGCCACATCCAGCCTGGCCTTGAATGCCTCCAGGGATGGGGCATACACAGCCTCCTTGGGCAACACATTGCAGTGCGTCACCACCTCTGTGTGAAAAACTGGTAATTCTTTTCATTCCACAAAAGCATAATATTGTAAAGTTGTATGTGATATTGCCCATAAATATCCATTTGCAGAGCAAAAATTTCAGGTTTTCTTATTCATTTCACTATATCTGATATGACATATCTGATATGAGTTCCTGCACTCAGGTTCAGAATTGTTCCCTACTGGAAATATCATCAGAGCAACAAAAACTTCAGTATTTTGAAAATATTTATGCTGGTTTATTATCAACTGGTTCTAATTAGAATTCTGATTAAGCAACATCTGCATAGAACAAATGCCAAATATCTACAAATTGAATGTTTTGATTCAAAACTGAAAATCATCTGTCTGA